TTAAAACTTGTAACTTGTTTTAGAGTTAAAGAAAATTCAGGGACCAAGCCCTGAATTTACCCAAAAAAATTAGGTATTTGGTTTATATATATGATATATGCGTGAATTGAGTTCTGAAAATCAGAACCCAATTCCTCCCAAATTTCCATTTCCTTAGCTCAACTTCCGACGACGATTCCGACACCGTCCGAATTCTGATCGTCGTTTTGAAAGTACCATCGTGTTCGTTATCGAGTCAGGAACAATTCTCTCAATTTAATTGAAGCAAAACGCTGCCAAACGTCGTGAATTTCAAGTCAAAGCATCGATGTTTTTTTTAAGCTCAATCGCCTAGAAAATCCTAAATTCATCGCCGATCGTTGCTCCGTTTACGACACCTCCCGCACCATCGTGTTCCTTGTGCCGTTCCGTGTCCGCCGGTGTCATCCTCGATCTCCGTTGACGGCGGCGCGTGGGGAGGTAGATCAGTCAAAGATTCGACCAAGTCGAAATCGAGCTCTCCGCCGTTCAAAAATTTGAACCAATCTTTGTAAGTATCTCGAAATCGCTCAAAATAATTTTTAGAAATTTTTCCATGATTTTTAGAGCCCCGGAGGACGTCGCACGCGCCACACGCGCCGCCGCAGGCGAGTGAACGCTGGAAACCGGTTTAACCGGTTTTGACCGGTCACGACCCGTTTACCCGTTGAACCGACCCGTTGACCCGACCCGTTGACCCGACCCGACCCGTTGACCGTTGACCGGTGCTATTTTGGGAATTAATTCGATTTTGGTGCTATTCTGGGAATTAATTCGAAATGGGTGATATTTTGGTACTTTTTTAAAAAGGGTGCTATTTGTGTAAAATGTTTGACAGTTTATTGACCTCCTTTGACCAGAACTTTGACCGGCTTTGACCAGCTATTAAACGACCTTTGTTTTCGACCAAGAATACCTATCCTGATAGTTTTCGACGTTCCGAATCTGTTTTTGGGGTCCGTTTTGCTAAATTCAAACCCGAAAGTCTCTAAATTGTCAGTCAAATCTGTTGACTTTAATTTTGACCAAGAATTCGAAATTTTGGAAGATCATACTTTATGTTTTTCGACGTCCTGAATTTGATTCCGAAGTCCGTTTTGCCAAATTCTGACCCGAAATTCCCGAATCGAGCTTGTAAACCCAAAAGGCTTAATATTTTAATATTTTGATTATTTAAATGAGATTTGGTCAAGGATTTATTCAATAAAAATATTTTATGAAGGTACTCGTGTTTCACCTGAGCAAGGATCAATTAGGTCCGGTGTTATCCGTTCGTTAGATCAGCCTGAACCGCGTACTACGAGAATTACCCGTAGGTTTTCGTATATTATTTAAATAATATTTAGATTATTTATATTAGGATTCCAATATGGATTTTTCTAATTCGTAGGATCTAGCGCTGCAGCAGAACGTGATCGACAAACCCAATAGTAGGATTCCCTATCCGATTTCTCAGAGTGTGACAGGTGTGTTTCCTGACAGTGTTGTTTTACTATTTTAAAATATTATTTGAATTATTTGAGAATGGTGATTATTCAAAATATTGTTATGACATGATACATGATATCTGATTTCTGAATAATGGTTACCGACATCTGATTACCGTATTTCTGTATATGATTTTCAAGCATGATCCATTTTCATGTTTTAATGGATTAATCACCATTTTTACTCGAATACATATTTGTTTATTACTGTCATTGGGGGGGAAAGAATTGTTGGAGGAAGAAAATATTGCAGGCTCCTCGACTTTGTGCTCAGGGCCTTACTGGTCGTGACGGGGTGTATGGTTATGGGAACCTACACAATTTGTTCGTGACGGATGGGGGTAGTGTTCATATTAAAAAAAACATGTTGCATAAATCGATTTTTATTGATAATATTTTATTAATATGTTTTTGTACGCTGTATGGAACACACTGGGCTTTTTAGCTCATTCTGTAAATTTTAACCTTTTTCAGATAACAACAGACCGTAAGCTAGCAGATTTGGCATCAGGAGAAATCAACTACTTTATTTTGTACGAACATATATTTCTATATGTTTTTCGGTTATGTTTGGTGACATGTATTTTATTATCGTTTTGGACATATATGTATTATTAATATTATGTTCTATATTATATTTAACGTTCTATAAGTTATATTAAAAAAAACCTCTGAATGGGATATGTGACCACTTAGGTTTGGGTCTAACTCACAGACTGGGTCTAGGGGGTTACAAAAACTCTGATAGATACAGTCAACATCTATCTAAAAATAAAGGTGAAAGTGTTAATCAAATGGAATATGCAAGGATCATAGGTAGTCTAATGTACCTTTTGAGTTGCACTAGACCTGATATTGCTTTCACTGTAAGAAATTTAAGCAGATTTACAAGCAATCCAGGGGAGAAACACTGGAAAGCAATTTTGTAAGGGTATTGACATATCTCAGATATACTCGAAACTATGGATTGCATTATTCTAGAGATCCTACTGTGTTAGAAGGATTCTCTTATGCCAGTTGGATATCTGATATTCAAGATACCAAAGGTCAGATACCAAAGGCACAAGTGGTTATATTTTCACATTGGGAGGAGGGGTTGTGTCATGGAAATCCTCAAGACAAACAATTATAACCAAATCCACGATGTAATCTGAGTTTATAGCCTTGGACAAAACTGAAGAAGAGGCAGAATGATTACAAAATTTTTTGGAGGATATTCCTGAATGGCCAAAGCCTGTACCCAAAATATGTATGTATTGTGATAACCAAGCAACAATTGGTAGAGTACAAAATGTAATGTATAATGGTAAATCTAGACACATGCGACGTCGACACAATACCATTGACAACTGATCTCAACTGGAGTTATTTCTATTGATTTTGTAAGATTAAAAGATAACGTTGCGAATCCGCTAACCAAAGGGTTGAATCGAGATCAAGTTGATAAAACATCAAGAGGAATGAGACTAAAGCCCATGAATTGTTAAGGCTCTATGTGAAGGAAAACCCAACCTAGTTGATTGGATATCCCAAGATCTAGGTTCAATGGGATAACCTACTTGCATAGACCTGGTGAGGTCACTGTGGGGGTTTTATCCCCAAGCCCATTCCTATGATGAAAACAATGACTAAAATGTGGATAAATTTAAGCAATGCTTTTAATGACCAATATATGTTTCGTTGAACCGAACAACATAAGTCACCTATGTGAGAGTGAAGTAGAGCTGCTTCAAAGAGACTATTGGGGCATAGTTATCTAAGCTCTTGCAGAACCAGGAGATGTCCACTGCTATATGGACACAACCATGAGAACCAAACTCTTGTCAGTAAGATATTTGTGTGAGGTATGTCATCACTTACACAAACGGTAGGACAGTTCAAGGACATCACATCTACTGGACAGCCAGTAAGGTAAACATATTTTCATAAGGGAAGGTTCAAAGGGGGACGCCTACTTATCCTATACAAATATCGAACGTAGAATCTATCACCACATCGAGTCAATGTTTTAAACAATCAAATTCATTCATGTTGGGGATTATTGGAAAAATATGAATGAATTGATTTATTCAATCATGATTATTCATGAAAAATAATTAAGTCTTTTCATGAAAAATAGTTATTTCATTTCAACCCAAAAGTCATGTATTTTCATGTTAACCTTTTGATCAAAAGGTTATAATTTTTAATAAAATGGTTAAGTCATTTCATTTAAAGGTCTTAACCTTTCAATACAAATTCTTCTCCCCATATAAAGGCTAAGTTGTGACACATCTCAACACACAACTTTTTACTATTTTCTTTCAATCCTTTTAATTCTTCAATTCTTCCAAAGTCATTTTCCGGTGATAGATAAACACAAAGATTGTGTTCGATTGTTTACTACGGTTATGCTTACTGTTTTGAACGTTTGTTGTTGTATCCTGGGAGATTGACGTCCCACGTTACTCAAAGCACCGAGGAGATGATGAATCTTTCTTAAGGAAACTATTCATTCAGGCCTCAACAAAACTCTTCTTCTATTTATTCAGTTTCATCCGATTACAGGTTCTAGTTTAATTTCACATTTTTTAACTTTATTATTGAAACGAAATTTTTAGATTATAATACTACAACACTATTTTTCAATATTTTGTAACAATTGTTTCATGTATTATGAAGTTAGTGGGATAACTTTTGTTATTGGTTATAGATATGTAAACGACGATGCCGACCATTTACATAGAGTTTGGACTCATCATAATTTTGATTAAACATGGGGATTTCTGAATAAATAACGCCAAAAACATTCCATCTATAAATATAGAGTAAACTATATGTTTAGTATTTAAATTATCGATTTTATTTCATTTTAGTTCTCAAACTTTCATTTGTTTCAAAATCATACTTAAAATTTATTTTTTGTTTCGTTTTGGTATTTCACTGTAAAAAAAACTTAGCCGACTGTTACAACATGACATTTTTATGGGTAAATTGCATCTTTCATCACTCAACTATCTTTTCAATCCTATTTTGATCACTGAAGTTTAATTTGTTTAATTTAATTACTTAACTTTTAAATTACTCTTAATTTAATCACTCTAACTTTCAAAATTTTTTTATATATTAATTAAATAAAAAAAAATTCATGTCATAAAAATTATTAATAAAATAAATTAGAGTGATTAAAACATGAGTGATTTGAAAGTTGATTAGTTAAATTGAAATTTTTTAAATTTTAGTGACCAATATAAGAGAGAAGATAATTAAATGACGAATGATGTAATTTGTTCATAAAAATGACACGTAAAGTTCTTTTAAGTTTTTAATAGCAAACACTAAAATGAAACAAAATGTAAACGTTAAGTTTGATTTTGTAACAAATGAAAGTTTAGATACTAAAAAATAAATAAAACTAATCGTTTAGGTACTAAAACAAAATAAATTTGATAGTTTAGGTATTAAATATATAGTTTACCCAAAGATTTAATATAAATGTATATTCCCGTGTAAAATTAAAAAAACAAGAGGATAACGCAAAACCCTCCTTTCCGCCTTCAGCTTCTTCGTCCAAACAATCAAAGAGGGAAGAACAATGGCTGCCTCTTCGGCTTTTCTTTCCACTTTTGTTTCGCCTCAAGCCCTCTCCTTCCCACCCAAATCCTCCTCTTCTACGCGTCTCCTCCTTCCCACTAACGTGCGCATGGTACGAACTGTGACTCTAGCCACCACTTCGAATCCCGCCACTGGCACCCGTACGCCACGCGGCATCACGAAGCCGCGTAGTGTTACGCCCGACATGCAGGCTTTCGTCGGAGTTCCCGAAATTCCCCGAACTCAAGCTCTTAAGCTGATTTGGGCTTACATTAAAGAGCACAATCTTCAGGTCCATTTTCTCTGTTATTTTTCACTTTTTCTCCTCTTCAAAACATATATTATATCCTATATCCTAAAGGGTTTTGTGTTTGGTTGTTTTGAATGTGAATATATTAGCCTCAGGTCCATTGTCTCTGTTATTTCTTGTTGCTTTGAATATATAATTTTTCAGTTGTTGAATATGTTCGTTTACAAATCCTCTGAATAAAATTTTGATGTTTATGAATTCTGTTGTATTCATATATTGGTTTGAAATTAGGGTGGTTCTATTGGGTTCTTGCTTGCATTTCGATGTTTTATCTATCTGCCTTAAAAATTTAGGAATTTGGAACTTGGGTTTTCAAGATGAGTTTATGTAAGTGAAGTTTAATGAAGATAACTATGTGCAATTTCTTTGATTACAATGCAATATGGTCTTTTGTCTAATGAGTTCCTTAACTAGGTTTCTTTTGTCTAAGAGTATCATCTCTGGTTAGTACACTTAATGTTTGGGATATTTATCAAAGGGAAGCTTTGAATCCTTGAATTTAATGCCTCGACCCGTTGCCTACCCTTTGGGCATTCATCATAATGACTTGTTAAAGTTATGCAATGTCTTTTAAATGGTTCGGATTTCTGAAATCTGTTTGTTGGAAGCTGATGGCTCAAAAATCTCTTTCTGATTGAGAGATGTTTCGGGTTCGTATATTTGTGAGACATTTCAATTTGTAATTGAGCTAATCCCAACTGACAACTTTGTGAGTGATGCATGAAATTTTGGTTTTTAATGCAATGAATGGTCTTGTGAAAAATTTAGTCGCCAGGATTTGATCTTCACTTTACTTTGTCCTCGGTGTTGTGGTACATGTAGAAATTGAATATGTACTCATGCTCTGACATACCGGTAAAGTAACCTGTAACTGACTTGGTTCTTTCTTGGATCCTTGGGCCATTTCTCTAGGACCCTGATAACAAGAAGATGATAAATTGTGATGAGAAGCTGAAGAAGATATTTGGAGGGAAAGATCGGATCGGATTTCTTGAAATTGCTGGGTTGATTAGTCCTCACTTTCTCTGATGAATTCGAGGGGGAGAGAGAGAGGTCAGAAAATAGGTAGAAACTTGTGTTCGTTGTGGCCTATCTGTTCATTGAGGATGGTGAAGAAAACCATGCTTTTTGCCTTAGATTACTACTGTTTTTTAGCATTGCTACTTGCGTACAGAAGTACCTTCTTAAGGGTTTCGTTTCGTAGACTGTTTTATGCAATATTTTTATTGCCATCAAAGTTTATGCATTGTTATCTTATCATTCTCAGATCTTTTGATTCTATGAAAACTGTGTATAAACGGCTTATAGTCCAAGTCACTTCTAAATCTTTGATCTCTTTATTGATATAGTTTCAAAATGGCTACAAGAATCTTTTTGTTTGGTTTGAGGGATGTAAATGAGACCACAAATTTCATTAGGGTTCTTGAAAACTATGTTTACTGCAGCTTCATCACAGGCCTTTCAAGGGGAACCAGGGTTTCCCAATTGGATCTCTCAGGTAAACATCACCAATGGATCTTGACACCTGAAATAAGAAAATACAAATGCTTAGACCAGCGTAATTCATTACATCATTTTCTAAAATCATGTCTGCTGTATCATTAGCTTAGTGTTATGCTTGAGAGGAAAGATCTCTTTGATGTATATGGTATACTCTGACAGTAAAGATATACATTAACTTTGTGGTAGAGAGTTTCAAATACATCCTAATGGTTGCACTTTAAGTAGAGTTGAATAAGGATATTCAGACTGATAGTGAACAAAAGTCATGAAGCAAGCAAACTATTTTGTTTCACAAAAGGGAGATGGGTCAGGTTTACAACACCTTCACAAATATCTATAGATTTGGTTGGAATCGAAATCGATTCACTCAGTCCAACTCGTGACCGCGTATAATTAGAGTTACCTGCTGTTTTCAAAGAAGATAATTGTCATCCAGTCATACAATAACTTATTCGACAAGGCATGACCGACAGTGTGATTAAGAACTCGTCAATCATGATCAGATTGAAGAACTCTGATACCATATTTGAACGTCTGCTGTGACTGAAAACATGAAACAATGGTGTAGAAACACAAAGTAACCCAACATCCGTTAATATACAACAGCATTTACCAGCTCCCATTCAAGCCCGGAGCTCGCTCTGCAACTTTAAAACATGCATACGAGTTAAAGAGAGCATGATTTACCAAACGTCCATGAAATCTTCACCATGTTCCTGGTAACTGTTATGTCAGCTTATTTACAATAAAACGCTGAAAGAGATTCCAGCAGATAGCTGTTCGACTCTGATGATCAATTAATATTGGCATTGAAATATATTAGTTATCACATGAACTTAAACACACTTACATATACATTGCTTTCTTTTACCTAAAATGACTACAAAAGAAGAACAATGAAAGATTTCTTGTTTACAGAAATCGGTTGAGAGGAAAAATCAACTACCCTAATCTTTCAGATGCAAAAAATTACATGCAAGATCATAGACAGAAGACAAGAAGTGGTTCCAAAACTGCCAATAAAAGATGCCAAACCTAGATATATTCGATCCACTCTTGTCCTGTTTGGTGCCGCCTCCACTCCGATCGGAAAAACACGAGCTTGGGGTACTGTTAGTGTTTATGGTGAGTGGTCAAATAGGATCTGTTCTACACACATCTTGTCAGGCGGCTGGGGGTCGGTACACGATGTTGTATTATATGTGTCCTCAAACTACAGCTCTTAACCTATAGCAAAGAAGTTTAAGAACCCTCCTAAAACAACGAGCCATTGCATCACATGAAGCAGAGAATAGCTTGGAACATAAAACAAAACAATATACTAACCTGAATGGCTGCTAACACCGACAAAAAATCTTTACATTGTTCAAGTAAAACCCTTTCCTTTGCAGTCACAGTTCCAAGTTCATCCACTAATGAGTTCAATTCCTCCACCTGCAAAGGATATTTAGATAATTGGGTAGATTTTTTTTTTTGATAAAAATATTAGGCCTCATTAAAACTCCCCTTCATGATTAATGGAGCTTGAAAACAGTTCCTTAATCAGCGGAAGGAGGAAAAGAGTGCCTTAGGATTTCATTAACAATAGAATAAGTACAAAGGAATACAACACCTAACTCCCTTAAGGAGATATAAAACCAAAAAGAAACATCCCTTAAAAAGAACATAAGGACCAACCAATACCAGCCTTAGCTAGGGCATATGCCTCTAGATTGGTTGTCCTATTAACCCATCTAATAACACCTTCACAATATCTAAGCTTTTGAATAATTTCTTTAACAATGTGAACATAAACATCAGGACATAAAACAACATCCTTAACCTAGTCGACTGCCACCCTGCTATCACTCTCAATAATCAAGCGTTCCTTAAAACTTTGTCGAATAGATTCAAAGAAAGCTAGATCCTTTAGGATAGCTTTCAATTCCATCAAAGTTGGAGGCCCCAGACCAGCAGACTCTTTGAAAGAGCCTAGAATCGAACCAGAAACATCTTTTAGAACACCACCTAAACCACTCCTCTTCCAATCACCAGTAGTAGCAGCATCCACATTAAGTTTGATAAAGCCCTTAAGAGGGGACCAAGGGAACTTAGATAAAATCAGATTAGAATGGGGCAAGCAAGAATGATACATGCATCACAAGGATCACATCAAAGGAAGAAATAATAACTCTTCCAAATGATCCACTCGTCCAAGCATTGGAAAAGAAGATCAGAACAGAAGCATACTTACGACGACTTTTTGAATGGGATCCTGATCTTATTTAGTCAATATGTCTTCTGGAGATACAATAGTCTGTCTCTTATCTTTCTAACGGTTCTTGAATCGCATCAATCCGATATCGGAAACTCAAGATATGGTTATTTTACTGAAAACGGTGCATGCAGAAAATCCTATACGGGATTAATACGGGATTTTATAAATATTATGAATTTTCAATATTTTTATTGATTATTTGTAATATAACTTAATATAGGATGATGCATTATCTTTTAGGATTAGATTTATTATTTTATTAGGAATTAAGGTTGGGTTAAAAATATTATCTTTAGTTATTATTATTTTATTAGGAATTAGAGTTAAGATATGTTTAGTTTATTATTATTTTATTCATTAGTTATTTAGGACCTTTAGAACTCAGCCCCTATATAAAGGAGGCTTCATTAAACTTTGTAATTCAAGATTTCTTTGATTAATAATACAACGAGAGTTCATTTTTGCAAGTGCTGATTGCCTTGTGCCTTCGAAGCTTCTTCTCCTCGAGATCTTTCAAGTTCTTGTGAGGGAGATTAATCTTCACACTCCAATTTGCCTTTTCATCGCGACTATGAGGGTTGGTTAGAGCCATATTATCGTGTTTGCCTTTTCATTGCGACTAGGAGGACTCGATAGGACATTATCCATCGATTTTCCACATATCCATCCACGTCATCAATCATCTTTATCGTTCACCTTCATAAGGGAGATCTTTTGATTTCTTGGTTATCTTATTTTATTTGCAATTCATTTATCTTTTCTTTATCTTGTTTTAATCTTATTTTTTATCTTGTTTCCAGCACCATAAAGAAACCCTAAAAAACCCTATCTATTGCCGCCACCTTCCCCATTCATCCCTTATTGTTCTTCATCGAGTCTAGATCTTTTCTAGGTTTGATTCTTCAACAAGAGCAACGTTCATCAATCCGCAACCACTTCCCTATCAATTGGTATAAGATTTGGGCCGATTCTTGGAAAGAAGCAAGCAATCTTGCTTGTTCTTCCACACAAAACCGTCAAGGTATCCCAACGGAGCTAGTCCAGAAAAGATTCATCGTTGCAGGTTCTTTTTATTTAATTTTAATTTAGATTCAAATCCTTCTTATTAGTTTGCTATTTTATTTGCAATTCTTTTATCTTGTTTTAATCTTATTTTTTATCTTGTTTCCAACACACAAAAAAACCTTAAAGAACCCTATCTATTGCCGCCACCTTCCCTATTCATCCCTTATTGTTCTTCATCGAGTCTAGATCTTTTCTAGGTTTAATTCTTCAACAAGAGCAACGTTCATCAATCCGCCACCGCTTCCCTATCAAAGAATCTCCTAAGGACGGATCAGTAATAAGAGAATCCTTGGAGATAGAAACATGAGTATTCTTTGCTAAAAACCATGAAGCCAGCCTAAACCTTGCTAAAAAAAAAAATTTCAGCTCGATCTAGCTTCCCTCCTTCAAACACAATAGAATTCCTAGTTTTCCATATTGTTCATAGAACCACTCCATGAATAATGACCATATGAGAGAGTTGGTCCTCAAATCAGCCCAGCCTAGGAGAAAGCTTTTAGCATAGCATGAAAAACAAACGGGATATTCCAGTAATGCATGAATTTATTCCATATTGACCAAACCACCGAACAAGAAAAGAATAAATGAGAGGGGGACTCTTCCATTAGCTTACAAAAAGGACACAAAAGATCATTTATGCCCTTTACACCTCTTTTAACCAGAGTTGTCTTCACTGCCAGCTTCTATAAAATCACTTGTCATAGGAAAGTCTCCACTCTTGGAGGCAACAGACCCCTCCAAATAACAGTCTTCCAAAAATGAGCTTCCTCCGAATCCGAAGTCCCCAAATAACATAGATTAGCACATGATTTAACAAAGAAAACCCCGTCTCCAGTGCCCTTTCAAAACAGCCCATCGGCAGAATCAACAGAAATAGAAAAGTTTGAAATGACAACCATCAAATTAGTCCATTGCTCATATTCCCAATCATTCAAATCCCTTCTCAATTGAACATTCCAAAACCATCCCCACGAGCTATATTCCCCAAACTGGAATAATTTACCAGTTTTGTTTACTGCAATAGAGAATAGTCTAGGGAAAATGACCATTAAAGGATGATCCATAGCCCAAATTTCTTACCAAAACCGAATGGATCTCCCATTACCAATTTTATAACTATATTTGCTCCTGATTTTACAGCCAATAGAATCTGCTTTGAAATGATTATTCACCATAGATCTCCAAATTCAAGAGAATTTAGGAGAAACATTACTGTCAAACTGCATTAAAGATGAGTCCATTTTGTATTTAATTCAAATTATTTCCCTCCAAACCGCCCTCATCTCATTAGCAAACCTTCAAGCCCATTTTTCCAAAAGTCCTCTATTAACCACATTTAAATTAGGAACCCCCAATCCACCATCAATCTTTAGTTTACATACATCGGACTAGCTCACCCAATGTATCTTATTTTTTTCCATTTTCATCACCACATAAGAAATTGGACATAATTGAATTAAGAGACTTGTATACCGAAGCTGGAAC